TAAATGCATGAAGACATTATCTTTGAGCAAAAACTAACATGATATTCGTGATCAGCACCCCGAATAACCAATAGTAGCCACATTTAACCCGCGCATGACTGGGGGGGGGGCTCTACAGAGCCCCCCTCCCGTTTTTCAGCAATATCTTCTAAACCGTTTGACGGATCAACACAAATCTTGCGGTACCCTCAGAGGCATCAATTTGACACATTGTGTTAAAATTTCAACTTTCTAGCTACCATAGTTTGGCCGAAAATGACGTCAGAGTGACGTCATGTCGGCCGATTTTTATGCAAAATACTGAATTACGGTAATCGCTCTCAAGAGCTCAGTTTTAAAGCTAGATCCATTTTCTTTGCATGAGTGGACTACAAATACACGTAGCTATCAAACTGCCATCTCGAGTTTTCGAAATTTTGAAAATTTTGAAAAATATGTATTTACAATTACAAAAAATATATTTTTTGATTTTTTCAAAAAGTTTTTGACTTTTCACAAAAACCGGAATATATGTGATAGAACACACACTAAGGAACCACATTTGCAAGTTTTAGCCTAATATCTTCAAAAATAGCCAAGTTATTCGCATTATTGTCGAAATTTTACAATTATATATTTTTCAAATCCATTTTTCAGTACGTTTTTGACGTCGTACAGCAATATAAATGGCATCATCGTGTTCCTGAGCTCAAACTGCATCTGATAGGCACCTTTTTTGTTGAAAAATTTCATTTTCAAAATTTGACCTTTTCTGACCTGAAAGTGACCTGACCTCCGGTAAATTCAGCTGACAATGACCTCAAATGATACAGACGACACTATTTTCGAAATCTACGAGTAAAATGGACCATAAAACATGCGTCACGTGACCGATACATGATATACAATTTTCGTGACCTAGGATGACCTGGCCTTGACCTTAAAAATTCGAAGTAAGAGTTCGGTACCCTCAGGATATCTAAGGCATCTATCAAGGAGTGCGTAAACCAAAAATGAGCCTGATCGGACCGGCGGTCTGGCGGTCAGAGCCTAAATTGTGAACTAGCAAAAATGTCGATAATTTTTACTTTGACCTGACCTGTGACGTCATCGGTGACCTCGAGGTCAATGAAAATAGGTTTCGCTCGACAGTTTTTCCAGGGCTATCAGACGCCGTTTGAATTTTGACGATCGGCCCAGTAGTTTCGGAGATAGGAGGGGGGGGCTCTGGAGAGCCCCCCCCCCCCCAGTCACTCGCGTTATGGAAAATACCCCAGTCATGCGCGGGTTAACGACGTTCTAACAGGTCCGATTTTCCCGACTTTTGGGTCATTGACTTGACCTGGAATGTCAAACAATGACCCAGGACCTTAAAGTTGGGTATGATCGGCTTTCTCTCGTCACATGCAATACGCTCGTTTTTCCGCGACGCTCTAGCTTGATCAGGGGCGAAACGGCAAGGGTTGGGTCCAACGGACCTCCCCCCAGCCCCCTTTTACGTTCGCGGCTGGAAAAACACCAATACGGGCGAGGGTTAACCCTCGCCGGCACAGGCCATTTTGCGTCCTTCGACGGCACAAGGGGGGTGCTACGAACCCCCCCCCTCGCGTTTGGCCCCTGATCGAGCTAGAGCTTCGCGGAAAAAACGAGCGTGTTGCCCGTCACGAGACGAAGCCAATGATACCCAATTTTAAGGTCCTAGGTCATCGGGTGACCTTCCAGGTCAGGTCAATGACCCGAAAACCGGGAAAATCGGAACCTGTTAGAAAGTCGTAAATTGTGGCTGCTATGTGGTTTTCCGGGTGCTGATCACGAATATCGTGTTAGTTTTGATCAGAGATGATGTCTTTAACCCTATTCCTGGCGGGCTCCGCCGGGACAAGAAACTGGCGGGGGGGGGCCCTGAGATCTCGAGAACGAAGCAAGATAGCGACAAGCGGTAAACGGCATCGGATACGCACGGCCAAGATCTACAATTTTTACAAAGGTCATTTTCAGGTCAGGTCAAAGATGACGTCACAGGGGTCGAAAAAGTCAAAATGGCGGCACTAGATATGGAGAGAGTTTTTCTCGAATAACTTTCGAATTAGTCAAGATAGGAACAAACTAAGGGCATCATCGTGATCCTCTCGTCAATCCGCATCGAATGATATATATGTTGACCTCGAAAGGTCAAGGTCAAAGGTTGACCTCAGGTCACGTGACCTCGAGGTCATCATGTATATCATTTGATGCGTCTTGACGAGCTAAACACAATGAGACCATCCACGCGTCTGTATCTTGTTCCTGTACGGAGTTATTGGCCAAAAACTTTTGGTGACCTTTGATGACGTCACATGACCTCACAGCTGCCCAACAGCAAAACAGACCTCAAGGTAGTGAAGGTTGATCGTATATGAAGTCATGTATGGTATATGGGGCCATTCCGACCCGTTTTAGTGGTAAAAACAGGGAGTTGATTTTTCCCCCATTGACTTATAGTGGGGAGGTCGCGAAATTGACCTGACCTTAGGTCACCGATATCAAAATTCCGAGATATACAAATTGCACATACTGGTACCCTAACTAAACCCTGAAGAGAAGAAATTGATCGGTCAAAAACTCTAGCTCTGGCGTGATTGCAAACTTTTCTGAGGTAGCGTCACCAAACCGCCTCTGGTGACCTGACCTGAGGTCAGATCAACTCAAAATTTTCAGACATGTTGCGTAGAAGCCTTTTAGGAAAAGTCAGAAAATTTGAGCTTCCTAGCTCAACGCGTTTGGGAGATATAACCAAAAAACCTCAGGGGGGGCTCCTGAGGCCCCCCCCCCCCGCCAGGAATAGGGTTAAGCATTTAGACCAGGTCGGGTCAGGTCAGGTCAGGTCAACCGGTAGGGGTTGTGACGGGTATTCGTAATACGTGTCAACCGTCTCTGACAGCTTCGTAACATGTTACGAAGGCAACAAAACTACTTCGTAAATGTTCAAATGGTTGCCAAATTCGAATTCAGCTCCAAAAACTAGCCTAGAACCACGTAAAACTCGAAAAAGTGAACCGAGGTCACCCGAGGTCACCAATGGTCAATGACCTGACCTGACCTTCAGGTGACCTTGACACCCACCCTAATGTATGGGAGCGACATCAAATTACATGTTTGAACGTTTGAAACCACAAAAAGCTTGCAAACGCGTGGCTGTGAGCCGACATATGCTGAATCGCGATTCCGGCCAAACATGGTCTCGGAAAAGAGGTCACAGGTCAAAGGTCCTTGGGGTCAGGGTCATTCAATTTTCAGGGATAGTGTAAAATTGATCGATGCGAGGGCACTGAAAGTTTCGTTGCGATCGGCCGCTTTTTACGCGAGTTATTCGCGAAAACCCTTAGGGGGGGTTGCATCACCCCCCCCCCCCTGTGCCGGCGAGGGTTAAACTAGGTCAAAGAAATTTGGTCACAAGGTAGTTCTCCGCTGGGGCTATCGAATGTCGTATGAAATTCGAAAATCGGTCGGCAACTTTCCGAGATCTTTGGAAGGGGGGGAGTCACGGGTGGCAGGGCCGGTTGACGGCCATACAGGGGGCGGGTTAACCCGCGCGGGGCTGGGGGGGGGGGTAAATTTTACCCCCCCCTCGCGAATTTTTGCGATATCTCAAAAACGGCGGCGCGCAGCGCCGCCAAACTTTTAGTACCTTTTCTTACATCAATTTGCCACGTTCCCTGAAAATTTGAGCGAAATCCGTCGGAAAATTTTTGAGAAATTGACGTTTTAGTGACGTCATGTTCGCCATTTTCGCCTCAAAAACGGCAAAAGTTCAAACGCCGCTAACATCTTCATTTTTAAAGGAATCAAGACGTAACAAAAAAGGTTATACGTAATTTTACTTTGTCTATCAAATGGCTATCTCGGTTTTTTGAAAATTTTGGATTTTGGCCTAAATTTTTTTCAAAAAACTGATTTTTTTGGGAAAATCATTATAAAATCCAAAATTTTGAGTCTATCGAAAAAACCGGAATATATGTCAGAGAAGTGGTCTATGTGCACCTACATACCAAATTTTAGAAGAATCGGTTCAAAAATGTGGGAGTTATTCAAAATTTTATGACGTCACGACACACAAATTTTTTGAAAAATGACTTTTTTGGAAGTTCTAGACCTCGTACGGAAACAAAAATAGCACCATTCGATTCACCGTGAAAAACTGCATCAGATAGACACCTTTTTAGGCCTTAACAACCAACTTCAAAATTTGACCTCACTTGACCTGACCTTGACCTGACCTCGACCTGAAATTCATCCAGAGGTGGTCCATATCACTTATTGAGTGTGCCTATTGAATTCTATGAGTAAAATGACCCATAAAACATGTGTCGCACATGCCCTTTTCTATATTTTGTTTTTTGGTGACCTGACCTGACCTGACCTGACCTTGACCTTGACCTCTGAATGATATTTTATGCAACGAATATTGTCTTGGTAGCCTAAGAACACGTTTTGGGCGATCAGTCTCAGTCCATGACTCCATTCTTCGGCAACTACGGTGCAAGGTCGATACTGTAGAAACTTGCAATTTGTACCCTTGACCTGACCTTGACCTTGACCTCAAACTTTAAATTAAGTACATGTTTTTAGTAGTTCGTGATGAGAGCTTTCGATTGGCGTTTGAATTTTCCAAATCGGACCATTAGTTCGGGAGATAACAGGGGGGGTAAAATTTACCCCCCCCCCCAGCCCCGCGCGTTCGGCTGGAGACCCCAGCCCCGCGCGGGTTAACCCCATTTGAGCTCACCATATAATAAAAAAAACAGGCATTTTGTGGGTGGATAGTGAATCACCGAAAAGGGAAGCCCCCCCGGGCCAATGCGTCATGCGAACTGTAAACTGTGCATCCTTCACAATCTTGGATCCCGGTATGGCGGGAAACTCGGCCAATTGGAATGCCCAGATTGGTTGTCATGACAACGGTTGCCTGGCAACGGCTTGTAACGGGGAGCTGAGGGAGTGAGCGGATGGAAATGCCGGCGAAAACGGATTCTTGTGTTTTCATGTGGCATCAACTCTAAATAGGTATGGGTATAAGAAGATGTGAACGTGATTGAGAGCGAAGATCAGAGAAGACGGCCTTCAGGAATTTGGGTCACAACTCGGTCACGATACGTAAACGGTAAAGTAAATGCTCGAAAATCTTCATAGCTTCATTCATCCTCCTGAATAATATCTAATAGGTACATTGTAGTTGTAATAATTGTTTTACTGCATTTTGTACTATTTATTTTTATTTTTCCGCCTTAGATTCTTTTGTAATGGTGACCGCTCGTCCAAGTTCCAACTTTTTTGTTACAAAAAAAAAACAATACCTACTTCTATTTCGTCATGACAGAAGGTAAGCTATCTAAATGATTCGCATAACCCGTACGCCCCGTGAGCCGTGGGGCTATCGCAGGACACTGCCACCCGTAGGGGGGGGGGGCTATTTCGCCCCTTAACCCGGCCCTGGTGGGGGGGCAATTCCCCCCCCCTCCAGACTTTTCGATATATCTCCAGAACCGCTGCGCCGATCGTCACCAAACTTTCAGTGCCCTCCCGGACATCAATTTTACACATTGTGACAGAAACAAATTTCCAAAGGCTATGATAGGTTGGCCGGAAATGACGTCAGAGTGACGTCATGTTCTGCCGTTTTCGACCTAAAAAAGGGTTTCGCGGGAAGAGCTGTCAGGCCTATAGCTTTGCAAATACAGAAAAACGATAAACACATAAAAGCTGTAGAATTGACAGGGCTACAAAACTACTATCTCAGATTTTTGAAATTTTTGGATTTTGACCCCCCAAAAATAAAAAAATAGATTTTTTGAATATAATAGCCGAAAAATCCAAAAAGTTTTTTGAATTTCGCAAAAAACAATATATGTGATAGTCCTTACCTCCTATCCACATACCAAATTTGAGATTGATACCTCTTTTTTTGGCGAAGTTATAGCGAAAAACGGTTCAAAATTGATGACGTCAAATTTTCAAACTTAATTTTAGCAATTCTAGACCCCTTAGCGCAAAACATAGACCACCATTAGACTCCCCGTGACAAGCTGCATCGAATCAATACCCCTGTTATGCAAAACTGTCAACTTTAAAATTTGACCTTTTTTGACCTGACCTTGACCTGACCTTCACCAGAAAGTGACCTAAGCCGTACCTAAAAGTCTTATAACCAACACCATTGAGTTGGAAATGAAAAATTGGCCATAAAACATGCATCGCACAACCTTAGTACCTAAAGTTAGGTTCATGTGACCTGACCTGTGACCCTTGGTGACCTGACCTGTGACCTGACCTGGTAATGTCAGTGAACTCTTATAGCAACATATGTACTCGGCAACTGACGCCCTATCGCTGATTTTCGACAAAATGCGTTTTCTTCGGTGTTATAGCGCATTCCCTAGATGACCCGTGAACGGTGAAACATTTCATCTTTGACCTGACCTGTGACGTCATCTGTGACCCTAAGGTCAATGAAATTCGGTTTCCTTCGACAAATTTGACAGGCCTTTCGAACGCCGTTTGAATTTCGCGGATCCGTCCAGTTGTTTCGGAGATACGAGGGGGGGGGGGGGCAAAAAATAGCCCCCCCCCACCAGGTCGCGTTATAAACAGACCCCAACAGTGCGCGGGTTAACCCCGCCCTGGCAGGACATTTTTCATAACACGGCCTGGCAGGGGGGTTGATGCGACCCCCCCTCGCGATTGGCTCCTATGGCACCTAGAAACACCAAATTTGGTAGGTAGGCTGGCCCCCTGGATTTCTCGCCCCTGTGCAAATTTAGTTGCTCTAGGTCAATATTTAGGGGGTATAAATGTAAAAAATTCGCTAAAAACAGGTCAAAAGTTTTTCGCTTATAACTTTTGATCTAATTAGGATAGAGAAAAAAGCAGGGCCTCGGATAACATGTTAACTGGGTGGGCAATTGCCCACCCAGTGACAATTTTTGCCCACCCAGTGGAGTGCTTTTGCCCACCCAGTAAAAGCGGAGACTGAGCAGCTATGGGCCGCTCTGGGCCGCCGGCCGGTGCTCGGCGCCTTCCTCGCCGGGCCGGGGGCGTCTGAACACCCCGTCTAACTCGGCTCCTGGGCCACGTAGCGGCATGTGGTAGGCGGCATTCGAAAGACCGTAAACATGAGGAAAATACTCTGTCATTATAAGGGCAGGTCAAAGCTCAGGTCGCTAGAGGTCATAAAAAGGTAAAATTTGGACTATTTCAACAAATTTCGAAAGCCTGGCGGATAACTTGGAAAACAACAGATTACAGAGCTGCAGCGCCGCGGAAAAGCGCATTCGATAGCTCTTTCAACGCTCTTTCGCCAGCGTGTCCTTAGATTTGACCTCGGTCGGGTCAACGGCTTAGCATCAACTGAGTGAAACTCCAGTCAACAGGTCAAATTGAGTCAACTCCAGAGGGCAAAAACTCCAAAAAAGGGCCGTTTCTATGAAAACGTTTTTTTTTCTGCAATAACCTTTTAATCGAGAAAGTTATGACATTTATTTTGCCAGCCATCGTGTTCTTCTCGTCGAGGCGCGTCGAGTGAGCTATAATTTGACCTTGAAGGGTCATTTGAAATTTGACCTCATCTCAAGGTCAATATGAGTTATAAATTACAACTATTATTTCATTATATGATAATTATAATTGAATGAATAATGATTTCTCGTTCAGTGGGCCTGAGCATAAGCGTAACTTTATATCTCTTTGTGGGTGCTCAAGCACCCCCAATCCTGAGCTCAGCACCCCCTGCCTTCTTAAAGCACCCCCAGCCTCCTCAAAACATTCCCAGCTGACTCAAGGCCCTCAGTAATCGGAATGTCCATCTCCTAGTACTGTAATGAGCCCAGTGAATCATCCAAATACTATGCTTTCTCAATTCAGTGACTAAGAGAATATGCATTGAATAAATCACCACAAATTAAGATGCATGATATTTGTGTTAATACATCTGATATTATCAGGGGCCCGGGAACGATTTTTAAGTTGGGGGGGAGCCTAAAATATCTGACATGATGCATATGAAACAGTGGCATAGCTAGGGGTCTAAGGGGACACGTACCCCCTCCCCCCATCGGGTTCAAAGGGACCCTCGGGTCCTAGAGGCCCTGCGGCGCCATTTGACCGCTGAGGGTTAACGATGGCCATATTTCTACTCAGAAGGGCCCCGTTGGGCTCGTTAGAGCACCACATGGGCCCTAAATAGCCACACTATGGTCTCCATAAGGGCCCCACGCTGACTTCTGAGGGCCTCTTGCGGCTTTTAAGGACACCTCGGTGGTCTCCAAAGGCCCGTTACTGGCCTCTGAGAGGTTTTACCGGCCTATGAGGGGACAGTTCTAGGGGCATTTCCCACCTGTGATGGTCCCACACTTACTTTTCTAAGGGCTCCATAACGGCAACTGTGGGGGCCCTCATCGGTGCCTATGAGGGCCCACACCGTTGTCTCTGAGGGTTTCACACCCCCAACTCCGAGTGCCTACACCAGTGGCTATTAAAGCCCTATATCGGCGGCTCTGAGGACCCACCCAACGCCTGCGCATCTAAAGGCCACCCACTGATGACTTGAGGGCCCCACAACACAACGGTGACCCTGAGGGCCCCACCGGTGTCTGACAGTACCATGCCGGTCTCTTAGGACCCCGCAGGACTTCTTCTGCCGGCCTAAGACCCCTTGCCGGTCACTGAGACCCCCTGCCGGCTTGTAGACAGTTCGCGTCAGCAGCTCTAAAGGCCCCACACCCCTCTGTAACGGCTCTACACCAGCGTCTATGAGGGCCCGGAGCAACGCCTGTAAGGACCCTCTTCGGCGCCTCTGAGAGAATCACACTAGCACCTCTGATCGCCCACACCGGCACCTGCATGCAGCGGCCCCACACCGGTGCCTCCCTTACCGGCGGCTCTGAGGGCCCTACGCCGGTGATTCTGAGGGTGCCACCGATAACTGAAGGCACCACACAAGCCCTTAGTGTAGCTGAGCTTTAATCCCATACCGGCCCTCCGAGGGCGCCACGTCAGTGCTTGAAATGTTGTAAACCCATGGACAATTTGCGGTTTTTAGGGTATTAACGTGGACGGCTGGGATTGCATGGACGTCTCGCTGTCCATGAATTCCTAATAGCAGTTTCGGGCATTATCATGGACGATGAAGCGATATACCAATCATCCGAAATGCATGGACGCGCCCGTTCGTCCTTGAGAATACTCCTATGTAAAATGCTATCCTAGATTAGTGTGTTTTTTCACCACCACGTGGCGATAGCATCGCCCTTTTAGAGCGACATTTTGATTGGTTGGCATTTTTGTAAGACCGGTTCTGATTGGTCGTCCATGAAAAGAAGTCAGTTCTCACTAATCGTCAGCTGTTGCAAGGCTTGAAGCCGTTGGTAAGCAACATCGGCGGCGCCGAGAAAGTTCTCGCGGCAATTTCCATGTGCGTTTTTCTGTGTTGGAAGAGTCGTGTCGCGTTTGGTTGGCGTTTGGATTGTGCTCTAGGCGAGTGGATAACGATGGGTGGAAATAGAAAGGTAAGCATTCGGCTGTATGGCATACTACTATGTATTTTTGTATTTTGTATTGTTGCCCCACTTTTCTAAGCCCAAGAGCATGGCCACAGCATTAGATTTAGGCATGCCATGTTTGTCAAGCTTGATTTTCCTGTGCTTGAATGAGATGACCTTTTCCTAATATTAAATAGACTACCACTGTCAATATATTGACATGCTGTTCTATATTTGTACACAAATAGGGGCTGTTGAGCTGAGCCTGCTCAAGACAGTCACAGTCACAGTTATGAATCCTTAAAATCTAGTTTTGTTGCAAGAACAGCATTATCTTGCTTATGCTCCAAAGTCAGTTTGGAATATTTGGGGAAAATCAATCAAATTGCCAACCTCTTACGCAGAGTCACAAAGTTTAACACTGCAGACGGCACAGGTCTGCAGTGTTGCCAGCTACTGAGTGTTCCTTTACTTTTATATATAGATGTTATATTGCCTATCAGTGGTGCTGATCTATCTGATTACAAAAGAAAATGTTATTGGCCATTTTATTGTCAAGAAATAATAAACTGTAGCCATATGTAATACCTACACATAATTCCGACATAATTCCTACATAATTCCGAAT